TTTTCCGTCCTTCAGGGCCCTGCTGTTTGAGCGTGGCGGAGGCGCCGTTTCTGAGCTTGGAAATTCCCGTCCGGGAGCTATCTTTTGAACAGAAGGAGTAGCAAGAGCAGGAGCAGCAGCAGCAGCAGAAGGAAAAAGTAACTAAAAAATAATCCTTTTCTATGGGTTTCAGAAGTTACATTCGGCACTTTTTGGTCGCAATTTTGAGCTAAAAAATCATCCTTTTCTATGGGTTTCAGAAGTTACATTAGGGAGTTTTTGGTCGCAATTTTGATGCTTTTCCGTCCTTCAGGGCCCTGCTGTTTTTGGTCGCAATTTTGATGCTTTTCCGTCCTTCAGGGCCCTGCTGTTTGAGCGTGGCGGAGGCGCCGTTTCTGAGCTTGGAAATTAGGGAGTTTTTGGTCGCAATTTTGACGCTTTTCCGTCCTTCACTGCCATGGTGTTTTCCCATCCGGGAGCTGTCTTTTGAACAGAAGGAGCAGCAAGAGCAGGAGCAGCAGCAGCAGAAGGAAAAAGTAACTAAAAAATAATCCTTTTCTATGGGTAACACACACACACACACGCACACGCACACGCACACGCACACTCACAGACGCACACCCTATAAACACCAAACTACCCCCCAGGTACCGCCCATAAGTGCCTCTATGCAAGGCCCTCCCTGTTCAGGAGTTTATAAACATATATATGTGGCCCCTGTTCAGGGCTCTGCTCCCTGTCCAGGAGACTATAACTATATCCGGTCCTTGTGGAAGTTGTCCAGCATGATGCAGAAGACACCTGAAAATTCAAACCTTGCCGATTCTTCCGGGGTCGGCGGCAGGGGCGGCAGCCCTTAAATTCGGCTCCGCCGGCTCCCCACGAGTGGCTTGCCCTACGAGCGTCCCAGAGCGACTAGAGCTCTATGGTGAGGCGCGCCCCAAGCCGCCGACCCTCCGACGCCGGGCCCCGAAAAACACCAAAAAACCTTCAGGAGGGTGGGGGAGAGCTTTTTGGACGGAATCCGGGTCGCTCATAAGCTGTCTCCCAGAGCATAATCCCGCCCCCCCCCCGTTTTGAGGGTACCTAAAATCGGAAAAAAGCGCCGTTTTGACACATGTTTCGGACGATTTTTCGCTTTTCGAAACTCACAAAATGCTGTAAATTACAGCATTTTTGTGTTTTAACGTCTTTTGCGGGAACAATTCAAAAACGCAGAAAATGCTGTAAATACCAATACTTTTTGGACCCGAGATGCACAAAACACTGCAAATACCAGTGTTTTTGAAAGACAAGCAAAAAAACACTGTAAATTACAGCATTTTTGGCGGGTTGATCGCAAAAAATGCTGGTATTTACATGGTTTTTGCAATTTCAAGAAAACGTGGAAGGCACGAAACACTGTAAATAGCGGTGTTTTGGCCACTTTTGGACACCGAAACGCTAGTATTTACGCAGTTTTTTGCCTGTGGCGGCGCCAAACCCCTGTAAATTACAGCATTTTCTTCCCTTTTTGAACCGATTTTTTGCGTTGATGAACGCAAAAAAACGCTGGTATTTACGCGTTTTTCTAAAATCGAAGATCGTGACGTGAACGAAACCCTGTAAATAACAGTGTTTTAGCCACTTTCGGGGACTAAAACTGTGGTATTTACGTGGGTTCTTGCCATCTCACAGCGCAAAATGATGTAAATTACAGCACTTTGTGCGCTGTTTATGTTCAATTTTTTAACCTGCGATGCTTTCACCTGTTCTTTGCATTCTTCCACAAGAAACAATGTTGCAGATTGAAACTGGACGACAGCGTGACCCGAAAGAAAGCTGGCTGGAGGAGTCGCGCAGAAGCTTTTACACACACAGGGGCTTTTACACAGAGAAGTCTTTACACAGAGGAGCTTTTTACACACAGAAGGTTTTACACAGCGAAGTCTTTACTCTACGGAGCTTTTGCACGCAAACGGCTTGGAGCTTTTACACACAGAAGCTGTTACACAGAGAAGTCTTTACACAGAGACCTTTATTACACAGCCGGTTTACACACAGAAGCTTTTACGCAGAGAAGCCTTTACACAGAGGAGCTTTTACACACAAAAGCATTTACACGCAGCAAGCTTTTACACACACAGGGGCTTTTACACAGAGAAGTCTTTACACAAAGGAGCTTTTTACACGCAGAAGGTTTTACACAGCGAAGTCTTTACTCTAAGGAGCTTTTGCACACAAACGTCTAGGAGCCTTTACACACAGAAGCTGTTACACAAAGAAGTCTTTACACAGATATATAGCTTTCACACACAGACGCGTTTAAACACAGAAACTTTTACACAGAGAAGCCTTTTCACAGAGAGTTTTTACACACGGAAGCTTTTACACACAGTGAAATCTTTACACAGACGGGCTTTCACACAGAGAAGCTTTCACACACCCGAGAGCTTTTACACACGGAAGCTTTCACACACAGAAGTTTTTACACAGAGAAGCCTGTACACAGAGAAGCTTTTACACACAAGCGCGTTTACACACAGAAGTTTTTGCACAGAGAAATCTCTACATAGAGAAGCTTTCACACGCAGAACCTTTTACACACAAAAGTTTTCACACAGAGAAGTCTTTACACAGAGAAGCTTTTACACGCAGAAGCTTTTACACCCAGAAGCTTTTACACAGAGAACTCTTTACACAGAGGCGCTTTTACACGAAGTGGAAAGTTGAAATTGGCAGCAATTCTCTGGGAAAAACCATCGCAGGAGCTTTCGGGAACACGCCTTCCCACTTGCTCGAATAAAAACCGCAATTCCATGATTCCATGAATCTGTTCAAAAAAGCATAAGGAATATATTTCTGAAGCAGCAGGTCCTCATTCAATAGCTTTCCAGCCCACCCTGCGATGACATTGAGATCAAGTAATCCGGCGGAGCCGACGATGAGCGTCAGCTCTAAAATTCGGCTCCGCCGGCTCCCCACGAGTACGCTGACAAATGCGTCACGAGCGTCCCAGAGCGACTAGAGCTCTAAGGTGAGGCGCGCCCCAAGCCGCCGACCCTCCGACGCCGGGCCCCGAAAAACACCAAAAATCCTTCAGGAGGGTGGGGGAAAGCTTTTTGGCCGGGATCCGGGTCGCTCATAAGCGTCTCCAAGAGCATTCCCCCCCCCCGTTTTGAGGGTACCTAAAATCGGAAAAAAGCGCCGTTTTGACACATTTTTCGGACGATTTTCAGCTTTTCGAAATGGACAAAATGCTGTAAATTACAGCATTTTTGCGTTTTGACGTCTTTTGCGGGAGCAATGAAAAAAAGCAGAAAATGCTGTAAATACCAATACTTTTTAGACCGGAGATGCACAAAACACCGCAAATACCAGTGTTTTTGAA